TCTCTGTCTGTGTTCGCCTTTTGTGCCCGTATTTCTGTGTCCATCTTTCAGTTTCCGTGTGTTTGCGATTGTCTGCCTGTGTCCGTCCTTCTGTATCTGTCTGTCTGTGTCCGTCCGTTTATGTCGACTTGTCTTTGTCCATCTGTCTGTGGAAGTCATTCTGTGTCCGTCTATCTGTATCCGCCTGTGTCTGTCTGTTTGTGCCCGTCTGTCTGTGTCTATCTGCTTGCCTCCGTCTGCTGGTGTCTGTCTGTCTGTGTGCGTCCGTTTGTTTCAGACTGTTTGTTTCGGTATGTCCGTTTACTTCTGCCTGTGTCTTTCCGTATGTGTCCGTTTGTCTGTGTGCGTCTTTGTGTGTCTGTCTGTTTGTGTATTTCTGTCTCTGTCTATCTGTCTTTGTCCACCTAACTATGTCCGTCTGTCTGTGTCCGCTAACTATGTCCATCTGCCTGTGCCCGTCTGTCTTTGTCTGTCTGTCTGAGCCCGTCTGTCCTTGTGCATCTTTCTGTGCCCGTCTGTGTGTGTCCATGGGTCTTTGTGTCTCTGTCTGTCTGTATCTGTCTGTGTCCATCTCTCTGTGTCCATATGTCTGTGTCCGTCAAACTATGTCCGTCTGTCTGTGTCCTTCTGATGATGTACATCTGTCTGTGCCTCTTTGTTTTTGTCCGTCTGTCCTTGTTCATCTTTTTGTGCCCGTCTGTAAGTGTCCATGAGTCTATCTGTCTCTCTCTGTGTCTGTCTGTTTCTGTCTGTGTGCGTCAAACAATGCCCGTCTGTTTGTGTCCTTCTGACGATGCCCGTGCCTAACCGTCTTTGTCCGTATGTCTGAGCCAGTCTGTCTTTGTCCATCTTTCTGTGCCCGTCTGTACGTGTCTGTGTGTCTGTACCCGTCTGTCTGCGTCTGTCTCTCGGTGTCTGACTGTATATGTCCATCTATCTGTGTTCGTTTGTGGGCGTATGTTTGTACCTGTGTGCTTGTGTCAGTCTGCGTGCCTCTGTCTACGTCTGTCTGTGTCTGGCTGTGCCTGTGTTTGTCTGTCTGTTTCTGTTGTGAACTTCTGTTTTTGTCTATCCCTCTTTGTCCATCTAACTATGACCGTCTGTCTCTACCAGACTATCTTTGTCCGTCTGTCAGACCCCGAGTAACCTTTTAAAGATTAATTAATAATCTAGCGAATTTAACAGAATTAACGACAATTAGTTAGACAACGTATCAACTGTTGTTCTTTGAAAAAGAAAGTGGAAGTAGCGAGTGTTCTGAAAACTCGGTGCTAACACGGATCCAATCACGGTAGAATTGGCTCGACTCATCTCCTATCTAACCTATGATTCAATCTCTAAATCAGAATATATATCTAGTTCTTGTTATGTTTAAACAGGCTTTCTATATATCGTTTAAACATCGTTAATATATAGCTAATTCATATTTACAATCTGCACTAAATTCGAATTGCTTTGTCGTATGTCACGCTTTTTTAAGCCAAATTCCAAACATAAATCGCAGTGTTTAACTAATGCGTGCAAGGCTTAATGTGAAACATTGGCTTTTTACTGCTGTATAAGTTTAAGTTTTTTAAGAATCTATGAAAGCCTACGCATACGGCGAGTGAGTATTGGAATTCTTATATTTTGTTAAAAAAATTTGACAACAACGTTTCACATCAGAATGACTGCTCGGTAATCAATATTATGTACGGTATAATCTAATCTTCCACAAAATATACAGTGATAAAATTTATATTTTACAATTGTAGTTTTATTTACTTGAGGGTTGTAACCTCATCTAAACCTTCTTATGGTAAGGTTTCACTGAAACAGTATAGACTTAATTATGTATAATTCATAAATGTAAATCATTTTAAAATCCTCCGAGCTAGATTGATCGAAAAAACCGAATATTTGAATTTCCGAAAATTGTTCATGGAAATTATCCAAATTGTACAAATGCAAGAAAGTGACAATAAAAACAAAAATAGTTGATAAAATATGGTGCTTCTCCAAAAATTATTATCATAAAAAAGGTCTATATAGTATATGATAAAAATGGAATGATTTACAAGTTCAAAATAAGATAAACAAATTAAATAGCAAAATAATATTCAAAAATGAAAATGTTTAACATAAAAAATATATTATCTAATTTACTTACGGATACTGAAAGTATGGTATCACCTGTAATCATCTCTGTGTGTCTGTCTGTTTGTGGCCGTCCTTCTGCGTCTGTCTGTCTGTGTCCGTCTGTCTGTGTCTACCTGTCTGCGTCCATCTGCTGGTGTCGGACTGTCTATTTTAGTCAGTTTGTTTCGGTCTGTCTGTGTCCGTCTGTCTGTGTCTATCTGTCTGCGTCCATCTGCTGGTGTCGGACTGTCTATTTTAGTCAGTTTGTTTCGGTCTGTCTGTGTCCGTCTGTCTGTGTCTGTTCGTATGTGTGTGCCTGTATGTGTTTCTATCTGTTTCCGTTGGTCTCTGTGTGTCTGTATGTCGGTTTCCGTATGGTTTTGTCTGTCTGTTTATGTGTGTCTGTCTATGGCTGTGTATTAACGTCTGTCTATTTGTGTACTTCTGTCTCTGTCTTTGCCAGTCTTACTCTTTCTGTCTATGACCGTCTGTTTGGGTCCATCTGTGTCTGCCTGTTTGTGTCCATCGTTCTGTGTCAGTCTGTTTTTGTACGTCTCTCTGTGTTCATCTGTCTGTGTCTGTCTAACTATGTCTGTCTGTCTGTGTCCGTCTGTCTGGGTCTGTCTCTTGGCGGCCATATGTTTGTGTCCGTCTAACTATGTCTGCCTGTGTTTATCTGTGTCTGTATATGTCCGTCAAACTACGTCCTCTCTGTCTGTGTTCGCCTTTTGTGCCCGTATTTCTGTGTCCATCTTTCAGTTTCCGTCTGTTTGCGATTGTCTGCCTGTGTCCGTCCTTCTGTATCTGTCTGTCTGTGTCCGTCCGTTTATGTCGACTTGTCTTTGTCCATCTGTCTGTGGAAGTCATTCTGTGTCCGTCTATCTGTATCCGCCTGTGTCTGTCTGTTTGTGCCCGTCTGTCTGTGTCTATCTGCTTGCCTCCGTCTGCTGGTGTCTGTCTGTCTGTGTGCGTCCGTTTGTTTCAGACTGTTTGTTTCGGTATGTTCGTTTACTTCTGCCTGTGTCTTTCCGTATGTGTCCGTTTGTCTGTGTGCGTCTTTGTGTGTCTGTCTGTTTGTGTATTTCTGCCTCTGTCTATCTGTCTTTGTCCACCTAACTATGTCCGTCTGTCTGTGTCCGTCTAACTTTGTCCATCTGCCTGTGCCCGTTTGTCTTTGTCTGTCTGTCTGAGCCCGTCTGTCCTTGTGCATCTTTCTGTGCCCGTCTGTGTGTGTCCATGGGTCTTTGTGTCTCTGTCTGTCTGTATCTGTCTGTGTCCATCTCTCTGTGTCCATATGTCTGTGTCCGTCAAACTATGTCCGTCTGTCTGTGTCCTTCTGATGATGTACATCTGTCTGTGCCTCTTTGTTTTTGTCCGTCTGTCCTTGTTCATCTTTTTGTGCCCGTCTGTATGTGTCCATGGGTCTATCTGTCTCTCTCTGTGTCTGTCTGTTTCTGTCTGTGTGCGTCAAACAATGCCCGTCTGTTTGTGTCCTTCTGACGATGCCCGTGCCTAACTGTCTTTGTCCGTATGTCTGAGCCAGTCTGTCTTTGTCCATCTTTCTGTGCCTGTCTGTACGTGTCTGTCCGTCTGTGTCCGTCTTTCTGTGTCCGTCCGTTTGTGTCTTTGTTTGTGTCCATCTGTGTTTCGGTTTGCCTGCCTATGTCCTTCTGACCATGTCCATCTGTCTGTCTTTGTCCGTCTGTCTGTACCCGTCTGTCTTTGTCCGTCTGTCTGTGCCCGTCTGTCTTTGTCCATCTTTCTGTGCCCGTCTGTACGTGTCTGTGTGTCTGTACCCGTCTGTCTGCGTCTGTCTCTCGGTGTCTGACTGTATATGTCCATCTATCTGTGTTCGTTTGTGGGCGTATGTTTGTACCGAGTAACCTTTTAAAGATTAATTAATAATCTAGCGAATTTAACAGAATTAACGACAATTAGTTAGACAACGTATCAACTGTTGTTCTTTGAAAAAGAAAGTGGAAGTAGCGAGTGTTCTGAAAGCTCGGTGCTAACACGGATCCAATCACGGTAGAATTGGCTCGACTCATCTCCTATCTAACCTATGATTCAATCTCTAAATCAGAATATATATCTAGTTCTTGTTATGTTTAAACAGGCTTTCTATATATCGTTTAAACATCGTTAATATATATCTAATTCATATTTACAATCTGCACTAAATTCGAATTGCTTTGTCGTATGTCACGCTTTTTTAAGCCAAATTCCAAACATAAATCGCAGTGTTTAACTAATGCGTGCAAGGCTTAATGTGAAACATTGGCTTTTTACTGCTGTATAAGTTTAAGTTTTTTAAGAATCTATGAAAGCCTACGCATACGGCGAGTGAGTATTGGAATTCTTATATTTTGTTAAAAAAATTTGACAACAACGTTTCACATCAGAATGACTGCTCGGTAATCAATATTATGTACGGTATAATCTAATCTTCCACAAAATATACAGTGATAAAATTTATATTTTACAATTGTAGTTTTATTTACTTGAGGGCTGTAACCTCATCTAAACCTTCTTATGGTAAGGTTTCACTGAAACAGTATAGACTTAATTATGTATAATTCATAAATGTAAATCATTTTAAAATCCAACGAGCTAGATTGATCGAAAAAACCGAATATTTGAATTTCCGAAAATTGTTCATGGAAATTATCCAAATTGTACAAATGCAAGAAAGTGACAATAAAAACAAAAATAGTTGATAAAATATGGTGCTTCTCCAAAAATTATTATCATAAAAATGGTCTATATAGTATATGATAAAAATGGAATGATTTACAAGTTCAAAATAAGATAAACAAATTAAATAGCAAAATAATATTCAAAAATGAAAATGTTTAACATAAAAAATATATTATCTAATTTACTTACGGATACTGAAAGTATGGTATCATCATGTCAACCATTTCCGCATTGATTAAGTCCGTTGGGTATTCAACAATTTTTCTAAGAAAACTTGTGTCAGACATCACTTTAAGAGACTCATCCCATGAGCTTTGTATAAAAGCTTTTTCAGTATCAGGTCGAATAGGCTTTATTTGGCGACGGAATAATATACAGACACAGTCCATAATTAAAGTTATCAAATATGGAGGTTTTCCAAGCTTACGAACAGTTGCAATATCAGCGGCTTTTATAGTTTTAAGTGCTGCTTCTGCTTCCTCTAAGGCAGGTAATGCTTTTTCTAACTTAGCTTCAGCTACTTGTTTTACAGCAGAAATGTTTTTTACAAGAACTTCTGCTGAGCCTTTCTTCTGCGCCACTTCCACTTTGACAATTTCGGCTGCGGCTTTTGATTGTTCAACAGTGGCCAAAACTTCCTCCGCTTCTGCAGAAGCTACTACAATAACTTTATTCATTTCAATTAAGTCCTTTTTAAGTACAGATACAGATGCACCTGCCTCATCCAATTTGTCTAAGCCCGAACTCATACGTTCTGACATAATGACAATATGAACTTGCTTTTGTTTATAAAGAATTTTGTAGCTTTCCAAAAAGGATATTAAGGATTTTGGTGTGACAAATGTCAAACGACGGAAACGATCATAATAACTAAAGCAAGCATCTTGTACAGACTCGTGAATCCAACTCATAATATCAACGACGTGATCTTTAACTTTACCACTACAAACAAGTTCCAGATCTCCGAGATAATGTCGAGAAACTGCCACACATGCATCTATTGGCCATTTTTGAAACCAATCAATTATACAACCGGATATCAAACCTGGAAACTTTAAGGAACGGAGCCGAAATTTTTCGCCCACCTGTAAAGAATATATTAAATTATATTTAATCTATAGTTTATCAAGCCTTACCGGTGAGAAGCAAAGAGCAATGTGTAGGTTCGATCGAGCGCGTGTAATAAAAAAATCATAAAGGTTTTCTTGAGTTGGAGGTCTTCTTGGTTGTTGTTTTTTCATTATTGGAATAAGTTCATTGTAAATTTCGTCCATTTCATCTTTAGCGAACAGGTTCGCTATTTCTCCAGAGCTTAATATGTTATTAATAAATTCTAAAAACGACTCTTCTTTTATTTCATTATCTGTAAATATGAACGTCATTCCATTGCCATCTAATCCAGATATTCGATACATAAACTTTAAGTCTTCTGTTAAGTTTCCCGTATTATAGGAACGTGTCAAGGTAATTTGGAAAAACTTGTATCCAGCCATAAATGAAGACAATCGTGTTAAGCTTTGTTTACCCGATCCACCTACACCTACAAGTAATGCGTTTCCACGCGGATTACTAAGTATGCGGGAAATAATCATCAAATGTTTCAGAGCATCAGAGAAAAATACGAGATCCATATTGAAGCCGCGTATGTTCTCATTAAATTGTAACATAAAATTCATTACTTTATTTTTTACAAATTCAAAACTAAAAATAAAAATAAATATAATAATAAAAATTTCAAAATTGGTTAATTACCTTGGTATTTCCTCATATATCTTAGGTGGCTCGAATGACATATCCTCGTCGTCATCTTCCATCGGTTCTGGAGCATCCCGCAGAAAATCGACCCAATAAGATGGTTCATCAGGAAATTGTTCAAAATTATCTTCTAAATGTGATTCTGCGTCAATCCGCATTCGAGCTAAAAACCAAGATTTATCCTTCTCAGCAGTAAAGCGATCTGCAATAACTCTTGTACACTCATGGCACCATAATTTTAACACCTGCTCTACTGTGCTGCATTCTTCAGTTTTTACTTTGAGAATACCTTCCCAGATTCGTGAAAGGTCCCTTAGGTTAAATACATAATGAAAATTAGCTGGAGTGGGCAACATTTTTATTTTAACATTTTGCCAAAAAACTCGAGTCAGTGGTACTAAAAATGGTATTATCTCTACGACATCTTCTTCAAATCGACTAGGGCTAAAGTAACCCACACCAATGCTTTTAAAAATTTGGTCAATGGAGCTATTACTTGGTAGTGTACAATTAAAAATACACAAGTGTCGTTTCAAACGATTTGGGATGTCATTGCGACCACCACCTGGGTGAATCATGGCTGACAACATTTGAATATCCATTATAGTAGAAAAATCTCCTGGACGATCTAAAGAATAGAATCCCCGTTGCTCGATCATTTGACGAACGATCTCATTTGTAATTTGGTCCCCCCACTCATTAATTACTGGCATGTTAATGTCATCTATGAATACAGTCATTGATCGTTGGTTAGGAGGTCCATATGTAGTACCCTGCCGTTTTTCGACATATGACTCAATAATACGCTGCAAAAAAAAAATACAAATGTATTAATATACAAATTTCAAACAGTGATCTATGCGGATATATTATTTTTATTATCTATAGATTCTAATGTCACCAACAAAAGTCAATGATATTGTATCTAAAAATGTACAAGATATAAATCTATCATTCGCTAGACAAAACAAAAATGGCTATAGTACTTCAAGCATTAGAGAAAGTAATATCAGCATTATGAAATCTTAAAGATTAGGTTTGGCATCATTCTGCTCGAATTCGTTTATCATCCCATACGTTTTCCTCAATTAGACATCCCCCATTCGGTTAAGGAGCGTTTGAAACCTTGATGAAAACAATATTTCTTGGTAGACTAGTTTGGACGTAACTGCGACGCTGTTAGATACTTCTGTAGCCAACGCGTTTAATACCTATCATTGAGTGATTGTTTTGATAATAGCTTAAGTGGTTGCTACGCTTTGCATATCTTCTACCTCAAAGTAAAGCAATTTGTGCATCTACTCCAGTCTGACTACCAGCGCCCTTTTAAAACCGCCAGAATAGCAAGAGTCACAAACACAGCAATTTCTTCGTTTTCTATTTAACCATGCGGCTTGCATGGACTTCAAGAAACTCGCAGCCAGACGGTCAATCTGACAACATATTTAGCAATATGGCTTCTGGAGTTTTTATTGTATAAAGAGCTGCGGGAAATGGTTTTTAAACTCGACCCTGGTAATGTCCCTTCTAAGAGCAACGACTAGCACACTTTCTTTTAACGCATTTTCTTGAAAATAATTTCCAAAGTAGTAAACCAAGACGAAGCGTTGGCTCCCGCAGCGTAAGGATTGCATTTGGGTAGTTGTTGTCCGCACAATTAAATTTATATTTTGTAATTCCATGATGGTACGCCATGGTCTACAAACTGTCAATGGTAGAGGGCCAGATTCCACATCAGATGTCGGAACACTAATATTATTTTGACACATTGTCTTAGCGAAGCGAGTTTCGGTCACTGAACTAACCTGCGTTGCACACTTCATTCTTGTGCTTCACACCGAACTAAACTCGACAAACCCCGTTCTTACAAAGTCTGATGCAATATTAGCGTCATACTGAAATCAATAATATTTATTGTGAAATATCCAAGGACGCACCAACACACTCAGTGTAACTATGGCACACATATTCTCAGTAGACGACGGCACGTTCATATACAGTACGAATTCGTATAGTACGAGTGCCCCTCGCAGGCTGCAATTTGATATCTTATTGTTAACCTAAGCATGGGTCAGCGATTGCTCGCATAGGACTGACACAGCTAAATGTGGCTGGTCAACGCCCAGATCGACGGTCAGCGTCGGTAACTTCTTTCTAATAAAATTTCCCATTACTGAGTCACGCCGTATTATTCACCTAACAAACCTAACATAATTGGCGCCCACGCCCTACACCGAAAGATTTCTACAAACTACACATAGCATAGAGAAAAATTCATGTAAATGGGATGTTCTAATAATCAGCTTTTAAGCATTTTAGGTATGTAAAATAAAAAAAATAAATAGATCAATTTAGATCATTTTAACGACAAGTGTGTGTTATTTTCGAAGCAATAAAGTAAAAATCTCGTGCCGATTAAACCAAAAAATTTCAAATATATATATATAGGGAAATTAAAAGGGAACTAGATAGTGAAGACGAGTGGGAAGTATTTAAACCAGATCAATAGTGACTTTGACACTATGGACAAAAGTTAGCTACAGGCTTTAATCAACACTGTCCTCAGTGCACACAAGCTAGAGTTCAACGCGCCGCTACTTGCACTTTAGCAAAGATTGGGTGCTCAAAGCTTGACAACGAGAATCCAATGGATATTGCCGAGTCGGTGAAAGCCGAAATTAAAGACCTACTCCGGAATAACATAATCCACCCTGTATTGTTGATAAAAGGGATATGACGATAACGGACCCTAAAAGAAATGTTCCCGATAAATACCCAATGCTAAACATACCTATGATATCGGAAACCTAGTAAAGTCAAAATTTTTCATCTCTGGTTACCATCAAATTTTTATTTGTATAGGACAGAGAGAAAATGTCTTTCTCTATAAATGGAGGAAAGAAATAATTTTTCCGATTGTCATTCGGGTTAAAGAATGTGCAAAACCTCTTCAAAAGAACAATCAATCACTTTTTACGCGAGCAAATCGGTAATACGTGGTATGTTTACGTTGATGACGTCATAATATTTTACCAAAATGCAGAAGATTAAGTCAGGCACATAGACTGGGATCTAAAGGGCCTATGTGATAGTCTCAAGGGAATAAACAGACATTTTCAAAGAAAGTGAAAGCCATTCAGGAATACCCTGCTTAAAAATTAGAGTAATACAAAAAAAACACAACTCTGTTTTCCATACATATAGACCGACGCTCCGTCCGTAGAGATAAAGGTACATTACAGCAGACAACACTGATTTAATATGTTAATAAAAGTAGTTTTTAGTTATATATATATAGACCGGTGCTCCGGGCTTATAGACAAAAGTTGTTCGCTGTTTATTTGTGAGAGAGCAATGCTTCGGCCGTATAGATAATAGTAGATTAAATCAGACAACCCAGCTTTCCTCTCTTTAAAAGTAGTTTTTAGTTACCGAGAAAAAAGAGGATAAGAAAACACAACTCTGTTAAATATAACAGTCTGTCTTCAGAAATAGTTGATGGCTGTTTATTTGTTGGAGACTGACGCTACGAGCGTAATGATAACCGTAGATTAGTTCAGAAAACCCTGCTTTAACATGTTAATACAAGTAGTTTTCAGTTTCTTAGAAACAAGAGGAATTCAAGAAATCACAGCTGAGTTTTATATACATAAAGACGGGTGCTCCGGGCCGAAATATAAGGTCTAATAAATTTAATCAGGAAACAACAGAATCCATTAAATTATCTAAAAATTTTCCCAAACTATTAAAGGCATAATAGAACTTAACAAATGTGTATCATTTGCATCCAGCAAACTTTGTCGTATAGAAAAAAATCTACTGTCACAAATTCTCATCAACTTACGAAATATTATTAGGTAGAAATTATCTCTCAGCATGCAAAGTCGTGCGGAAGATAACGTAAATACACGTCAATTTTCGATATGATACGAAACACCCGGTCAAGTTCCTTATCCTTCCGCAGAATTCGAATACGACTTATACAACAATACGAGATCAACAACAGACTGGCTCATTTAAATCCAGAAGAAACAAGAAAACTAAAAAAATCTTTCACGACTACAGTGACATCGAATACAGAAAGGGTGAAAATTTTACCTTTACCAGTACAATTAAACATAAAAAAATAACCAAACATGAGGACCCTATCTATAAACACACTTATAGACATCCTCAAATTTTGAACCAAGAAGACAAACAAGTCAACGAAATGTTTGAACAGGGAATCATACGAAAAAATAATTCACGCTATTGTTCACCTATATGGATCGTACCTAAAAAAGCACACGCTTATAAAGAGAAGAAATATAGCTTAGTTATCGACTATCGAGGACTAAATGAAGCTACCATAGACAAGAAATACCCAATACCCATCATGGATGAAATTCTTGATAAATTAGGCCAATGTCAGTACTTCACTACCGTCGACTTTGCCAAGGGATTCCACCAAATTAAAATGGACCCTAAATCGATTGCAAAAACTGTATTCTCAACAAGACAGAGGGACTACGAGCTCACTCGTTTCTATAAAAAGGGTATTCGGCAGATTACAATTAGACAAATGTTAGTTTCTACAAAGAAAAACAGAATTCTTAGGACTTATTATAAACACAGAAAGTTTTAAGCCTAGACCCAGCAGCTATATTAAAATTTCTAGTTCCCAAGACGCCTAAAGAAATCAAATCATTTCTATATAATACTTGATTAGTTCAGAGAACCCTGCTTAAATCTGTTAATAAAAACAGTTTTCAGTTACGTAGTAACAATAAGATAAGAAAACAACCCTAATTTATAAACAAAGACTGACTCACCTGACGTATAGATAAAAGAATTTTATATATATTTTATATTAAAGAATAATATAAGCTTAGAAATAAAAGGAATATAAGAATACACAACTCTATATACATAAAGACCGACGCTCCGGGCTTAGAGATAAAAGGAGATTAGAGCAGACAACCTTGCTTTAATCTGTTAATAAAGAAAAGCTTTCAGTTACATAGAAACAATTCTGTCTTAAGGATTAGTTCATGTTAGAGACCGAGCATATAGATAACAGTAGACTAGTTCAGACAAACAGAATGTCCTAAGAAATAATTAGTGGCAGTTTATTTGCTAGAAATTGATGCTCCGAGCGTATAAATAACATATGAAAGGAACAAAACACAACTCTGATCTATATACATAATGACTGCTTATTTGTTAGAGAACATAGATAATAGTAGATTAGTTCAGACAACTCTACTTTAATCTGCAAGTTTTCAGTTACGTAGAAGATAGGAAACCAAAACTCTGTTCGTAGTTTTCTGTTACTAAGAAACCAGAAGATACACATAAACATATAGGCCGACACTCCGGGCGTAGAGATATAAATATATTAGATCAGAAAACCTCGCTTTAATCTGTTAATAAAAGTAGTTTTCAGTTTCTTAGAAACAAGAGGAATTCAAGAAATCACAGCTGTGTTTTATATACACAAAGACGGGTGCTCCAGGCTTAGAAACACATACATATAGCCCTGTTTTACAGAAGTTCCATGTATAGAAAAGATTAGACCAGAACAGACAACCCTGCATTAATCTGATAACAAAATAAGATTGCACTCTCCTGGAATAAAGAAAATAAGACAATGCGCAGAAAAAAGAAGTCCAGAACAGACAACCCTGCATTAATCTGATAATAAAATTAGATGATACCTGTAAAGAAAAATAATTAGGCCAGAAGAGATAACCCTGTGTTACACATATAGAAGGTTTATATAGAAAATATTAGAGCAGCAGAGACAACCCTGCATTAATCTGATAACA